ACCGCTGGGGGGGCCGCCTCTCGCCTTTCTGGAGGGCGCCGAGACTCAAGCGCTGCCCGACCGGGGAGCGGGACGGAGCCGCGGAGGGGGGCGCCCGCCTGAGGGGCCCGGTTGGAGCTGAGCAGCGGGGACCAGACTTCCTTTTTCTGCCCCCACCTCCCCTCCTCTCCTTTTCCTTCTCCTGCCCCTTTACTCTCTTCTGGGGCGGCGGTAGAGCCCTCTTTCTCCCCCCGAGCCTCTCAGCGCCGGGAGGGCCCCTCAGCTGCCTCTCGCCATGGCGAGTAGCAGCGGCTCTAAGGCCGAGTTCATTGTCGGAGGCAAATACAAGCTGGTGCGGAAGATCGGGTCGGGCTCCTTCGGGGACATCTATTTGGCGATCAACATCACCAACGGGGAGGTAAGGGCTGCTCGCACTCCCTCACCTCCTTGGGCCCGCCGGCGTGGTCCTTTCCGCACCTCGGGGGGGATCTTGAGACCAGCGATAACATTCCCGAGGCCGACGTGAAGCCTGGTTTTGCCCCCCTTGTCCCCAGTGTCGCTGCCTGCGAGGCACCGGGCGGCCCCATCTCGCCAGGCTGGCTGAGCCGCCCTCCGTGGGGTGGGGAGGTGAAGACGCGTGCCCTGGGATTGAGGAGTTTCCCTCACCTGACGGCCTTCGTCGCCAGGGGGGTGACATTGCCCCAGCCGACAGCAGAGTCGTGTGGTCGTGGTCTTCCCCACCCAGCAGTTGCATAGCTCGCTTGCGAGTGGTAGGGAGAGGGGACCACCATTGTGGGAAAACATACTTTGTCTTTTATGAGCGATCAGAGTCGTCCCTCTCCCACCAATCATCTGTCCCCCCCCTCTCTCTCAGCTGGGGAACACTTTATCTCATTTTCATCGACAGTAACAAAGAAGATCCTCTGTTTCTTCGGCTCTTTTTTTCCTTTCCTTCCTCCCCCTCACGGTTCTGAGCTGTAAAGAAGAAACACCCACGTATGTTCTTCCTCACTTACATGGATCTGAAGGCTTTACATCTCCAGCTCAGTTTCATGACCTGGGATGGATATTTATGTACAAATCATCACGATATGGATTTTATTTGAAGACACAACTCAATGCAGGACGATGAGCACCGAGAGCTTAAAAAAAATAAAAATCTCAAAGCATTTGCAGCAGGAGTGTGTGGGGTATATTGAAGTGCTGTGCCCCTAAAACCTCAGTGACAAGGCTGTGGTTGTTGGACGCTCTGCTCTGATTCCTTGTTCCCTCTCACTCTAGGAAGTTGCTGTAAAGTTGGAGTCTCAGAAGGCCAGACATCCCCAGCTGCTGTATGAAAGCAAACTATACAAGATTCTGCAGGGAGGAGTTGGCATCCCACATATACGGTAGGAATTGTTCATGTATGCCATTACAGTGATTTTCTTTAATGTTAGTGTGAGACAGGGCACCACCATTGAAAAGGCATTTATTTGGGAGGGATTGGGCTGTTGAGGGGAAAAAAGCTCCATTCCAAGCTCTATGACTAGTTGGGTGTCCTCCCCACCGTCCCGCTGTCTTTTCTTATCCGTACATACTGTGCTTTTAAAGTGAGATCTTCAGCAGTTCCTGAACTGTGAGAAATTCCTGTCGTGATTAGAACAAAGTGTGAGACACTCGGTGAGAGCCAATGTTCTTGATGAGGTTGAGAGTTTGGAGCTGGTACTGGAAATGGCTGCTTTCTTTTGTTGCTTTTTTTTTTTGTTCCAACATGTCTTCCTCCTCCGCTCAGAAAATGGCGGATGGACGTGATTAACCCTCCCCTTTCTTGTGTTGGGACAAGGAACGTGCTCAGGCATGTATCTTTTCCTTTCATAGTTATGTGCTGCAAGGCTTGAGACTGCAGAGAACCTCAACCAGGAACGAAATGGCAGCCCCTTTCTGTTACCCACAGCAGATGCGTCAGTAGGATTTCCGTACAGTTAAAGTGCCAGGATTGATCCCTCCCAGTTGCTTGTTCTGTGGCTTCCTTGTTTCATATTCTGTCTGAAACTTTCAATAGTGTTTACAAATTTCCTGATCTGAAAGAAAGTCACCGGTGCAGCAGACTCTAGGAGGAGTTATTTCTCTTGAGATTATGGAGGTGTAATATTGGGTTAGTTCCCAGCTGCTGAATCTATGCATCATAATAGATTAAATGAAGCTTCGTTTTTTTCCCAGAAAGACTTTGTACAAGAAGTTGTTCTTTTTTAAAACTTTATTAGTAATTGTTTTTAAAGTTAATGTTTCTTATGTTTGCACTATGGCATAAAGGAATTTTGTTCCTTGAGCTGCAGAAATGATTTTGATGTAGATACTGGGTCAAACTGTGAATTCCATTTAATCTGTTAACTGTTTCCTGACTTTGTTGTATGTGCATCTATATTAATAGTGGCATATAGGGTCTATTGTAGGGTCATAACGATGACATATTCTAGATAGCATATAAATTTTAACAAAATCTAAACCAAGTTTGTATTTCTGAGGGGAGCTATTGCTCCCCTCCTCCCCTTTCTGCCCCCCAACACAACTGGCTGTAGTCCTGAGTGTAAGCTGGAGCTATATAGCAGAGAAGACTGTTGTCTTGGCCATCTGTCCTCATTCACTACAGTCTTTTGCAGGAATAGAGTAAACCACCCTGAATTAAGCAGAATACTTCTAACTTATACAGAGTTGCTTATGTGAAAACAGATTTAGTCTTTATTTTAGACCACAATTTCCTTCTTTTCTTCAAATAGATGTCTTTATTTTGCGACTGAAAGAATAGAAACTGCACTTTTGGAAGCTGTCACAGTATAGTTATATGCTAAAAGAGGGATAACTGGGAAAAGAGCCAAAGCAAGCGGATATCAGGTGTTTCATCACAAAACTGGAAAAGCAGATGTTCTTAAACTATTTCTTTTTTGAAAAAAGTAAATGAATGTTTGGTGCTATAACAAGGCCTAAGTTGCATATTTTTCAACTTTTCCATGTAACAGAAGTGAGCTACTCTTTAAAAGTAAGTTCTTGGCTTTGGGTAAAACGCCCTGTGAAAGCGTTTTATTTAAAGCTGAAATACTGGAAATAATCTTGCATGGTGAGAAACTTGATTCTGGTTTAAATTACAGTAGTCATCTTTTTAAGTTTTCTTTCTCCCATGTTTGATGTTCTTGTATCTGACTTTTTCTGTATAACTGATGACTGTCATTTAAGAAGTCTGAGCTACAACCTTTCTTTTACAAACACTTCGTCCTTTCTCCCCTCTCAAAATAATGCAAGATTATACGAATCTGAGTAAGAGTGGACAACTGAGGCAATACTCAAAACAACTCTGATTCATAGACTCATGCTAAAGGTGATCTATTTGATAATGTCAGTGAGTCTTAAAATTTTTCAGGTTCTCACAGTGTTAATCTTCGTAGTGTTTTTCTAGAAAAGTGGTTTCAGAAAATTTTTTGGAATAACCTTTTTTTGCCTTCAGGCGCAGCATTAATTTTAAATCTGTTTGTATGTAGCAGGTGCTGCTTGGCAGGTTCTCTGACTAGGCTTCTGTTACTAGTTGTCGTCTTGCTATATGACATGTGGTCACGCCTGATGTATTTTTGTAATACAGTTACAGTTTTTGTAATAGTATTTTTGTGTTTTATCTTCTTTAAGAGGAATCTGAGCAAGGAACGTAGCACAGTTCTTGTGACAAACGCTAAAATGTGATGCATTTAGCAGAAATAGAATCCATGGTGCTCTGAGTCTAAGGGGGAGGACTTGGCCTACCAAATGAGGTGTATCACTGAGGTGCTTAGCAAGGACAAGTCTTTGAATAGATGATTACAAAGACTAAGACCAAAGGGAAATTACTGTGCATATTGTTTCAGACAGTTCAGGCTTTTCTGAGATGGCGTTTTGGCAGTAGTTAAGCTGGGAGAATGTATGACTTTGTACTTAGGTCACTTTGCATGTGTAATTGATAATGTAAGTTCCGTCATTGTTTTATAATGGTATGCTGTCAAGTTGGAATAAGCTGTTCTTGGCTCAGTGTATTTTGAAGAATGAATCAAGTTGAAGGAAAATCTTTCAATACATTTGTTAGAATTTGTGTAATGTGACGCCTTTAGACAACAACAGCATAAACAGAGCATGTGATAGAAAATTAAGGACTCACTCTAAGCTCTTCCCGTTGCCATGCTGTGTAAGCTGTGCTCAGCAGCATTTTTATCTCAGTGCTACACATTTGGGAAACAGGCATGTAATCTTGGCATTCCTCTAAGAATCTTGAGAGAATTGTTCTCTACTTTTCATCTACTAAATTAATCCAGTGGCCAAGATCAACTTAGTAGAAGTTGTGTTATGTGGCTTTGCCTTACTGAAGTGGTCTGCTGTGGTTGTTTGACTCACAAAGCTGAAATAATAGGTGAGGTATGGATTGCTCATTCATTTTGGGCACCTGTTCTTACAGCTGAATTCTGCCCTTTTGATGTGATTGCAGACATAGTAATGATAAGGGCATAACTGGAGTGTCAATTTATCTAGAACCAAGCAATTTTTTTATAGCTTTTAAGGTTGATTTGGTGACCTTTATGACTGATTGCAAGAAAACTAATGAACAAAATCTCAGTTTTGGAGTTAAAATTTTGGTTTTTAATATTGCTCCTGTGGGATCAAGTGTGAACTTTCAGTTGTGGAAGATGACTCAAGGGGCCTTGGAACTCGCACTGTAACAGAACACGTTGTTTGCACATAAAATAGCAAAAATTGAGATTGGAATGTCTTTGTTGTCTGAATATTCTAAACCCTTTTAGACTTGCAAATCTTTGACTTCTGCTGCTTATTGTTGTTTCCTGGAAGAGTAGCCAAGTTTCTGAACTTGTCTCCGGAGTTTCACAAAACCTTATATAAATGTGCTACAGATTTTTAAGCTGTGGTTTGTTCTTGATGTACGAATTTTGGTTGATTATTACCTTTGTTTTTCACAAAAGGCTCTTGAACCGAGCTTAACGTTCTAACAATCTGATCTGCCTTTAGGACACAATGCAAAGTCCGCAATATTCTGCTGGGCTTATTCTCATTGTTCTCAGCCATCAGCTGTCTTTTTCTTTTTTCCTCTCTTTTTCAGTGGCAAAGCATTTTTAGCTGTAATCTTGTTAACTGAGTACTGATCCTATTAGTTTGAACTATCTACCTTTATTCCCAGTTCTTGGTTCTGGCTTAGAGGAATGCAGCAGAGTGTGTCTGGTGATTTTGTATGTTGTTTTGTTCATAGTGTAACTCCGTTAAAGCACTCTTAACAAAAGCAATTATTCAAATTATCTGTGACAGGGACTCTTGATTTTTGCCATTTATGGTGTTTATCAACTATTGTTCATATCCTTTAGGAAGATTATCCTTAGGTGATCTTTCAGATGTAGTTTGGAAAGAAAAGTGGCCTTCTGATTTTTCTCCTGACAATATAATGGGATAACTTGTTTTCATTATTGTCAGTTTCAAATGGAGAGCAGCTATGCTGGCACCAGCTGTAGCTATTGGGGATACATTAGAAGTGTTGCACTTAAGAGCAGGAAGAGAGCCTAGTGAATGTGAAACAGATATTGCATGTGTTCTTGTGTGGGCAAGGCCGAAGAGATAACTGTACAGCATGTGAGATTAATCAAGATGGTACTTAAGTTTAGTCATTTGTAAGTTTAAAAACCTACTACTGACTTAGTGATTTTTTTTTAACGTTCTCTTGCAAACTGAGCAAGTAAATCCTTAACATTTCTGAACTTTTCAATGCTGTAAGTTCTTGCAAAATATTTTGGTGTTGAGAAATTCAGTATTGCCACCCATGTATCACCGTGCAGTCTTCTAAATAGTGAAGTGTAAAGTTTCTCAAAAAAAAAAAAAATCTATAAAAATATCTACAATTTTTGTTCTTCTGGTTGCTTACAGCCATGATGTTGGATTATCTGTTAATAACAGACTCTGCTCATATTTATCTTCGCTAAGTAATACATGTAGTGGAAAAATGTGGTCAAGTTTGGTAACTTCAGGGTTATTCTCACAATGGATTTTTCCTTGAGCACTTCAACTTTTGATGTCTTTAAGCAGTGCTTAAAAAAATGTGTAAATACAATTCTCAAACACTTTCATTTTAAACTGTTTTCCCAATAACTTTCTGCAACATTAAAACAAAAAAAAAAACCACACAAAAAACCCAACACCAAAAACATAATCAGAAAAATACCCACCAAACCCACAGACAAAAAACACCACACACATCCCCACCTCCCAGCGCTTCCCCTGATCTTAAACAACAACTAAATCCAAAACTAGTAGTTAGATAAAGACTGAAAAGTTCTGTCTTCTTTTAATTGGTAAGAGTGATACTTTCATATAAGTCTGCAAGTAATGAGGAGGA